TGGATCACTGGCGGGCTGGTGTGGTGCATCCTGCTCGGCACTCCCTGCGCGGGATGGGTGCCGGCCCGCGCCACCGGTGTCGGAGACCACCCCACCGCCGCCTGCAAGGCCTTCGCCGCCAAGATCCTGCGGGTCGCAGCACGCTACGGTGTTCACATCATCCTGGAGAATCCTGCTCGCAGCAGCCTCATCGGCGACCCCGAGATTTCTCGGGCGCTGGCGAGGCTCGGCGCCGTGCGCTGCGACTTCGACATGTGCGCGCACGGGGCCCCGCGGAAGAAGCCGACGACGATCTACACCACGTTGCCCGGGGGCCCCGCCCTCAGTCGCCGATGTCCGGCGCCAGGGGCCCCCCACGTCGCCCTCTCCGGGAAGGTGCAGCTGGCTGGGGCCCGCCCGCGGTGGCGCACCTCCTTCGCCGTGGCGTACCCTCCTCGCCTTGCTGTGGCACTGGCCCGGGTGCGCCGCTCAGTTGCGCCGCCCAGCAGCTTCCGCTGCCCGCGGGAGCCCCTCCTGGACGACTTCTGGGACTGGCGTCTGGCAGTCAGCGCGCAGCCAGCCGCGGACCTCAGCCGACGCGCGCCGGCCCCGCCCCTCGAGCGCGCCGCCCGGCTTGGCTGGGAGGGGGCGATCAAGTGCTGGGACGGGAAGCCCTGGCAGGACGAGCTGGCGGACTTCCGCGCCCATCGCGCCGCCTGCGCCGGCGCGGCGCGCAGCCAGGCGCCGCGCCGACGCCCGCCGCGAGGCCTACGGCGAGGCCCCCGGGGCCTGCCGTCGCGCCGCCGCCCGCCCTACCACAGCTCGGCATTACCAGGGGTCGTTCGCGGAGGTCGGGCGCTGGGCGAGGCAGAACGGGCGCGAGCCGACTGGCGCGGCCTCGCGGGACGCGGTGCTCGACGAGCTTCTGGACGCCACGTTGTTCGACGGCTTGCCGCCGGCCAAGGCGCGGTACGCAGTGTATGGCACTGCGTACTGCTTGGGGCTTGCGCCCCGTGACCGAGCCACCCTGCCGCTCGCGGAGGCCGCCCTGCACGGCTTCGCGCGCGCCTCGCCCGAGCAGCCGCGCGACTCGCTGCCTGTCGAGTACCTCCACCTGGCCTGCGACGCGTGGCTCCAACGCGGGGGCATCCCCCCCCTTGTGGCGGCCGCGTCCGCGATCGCCTTCGACTGCTACTTGCGCCCCGCCGAGGTGGTGGCCCTGACTGCGCGGCACGTGGCGCCGCCGGCTGCAGGCGCCCAGGACGTCGTCATCACCATCGCGCCGATCAACGCTGTCGGTCCGACAGCACCTCCAGCCAAGAACTTCCCCACCATCGTGGGCGCCCACGACCGCGGCTGGGTGGCGCAGCTAGTCCTCAACCTGGCCGCCAGGGCGTCGGCTGCGCACCCAGGCGACCAGTCCGCTCCGCTCTTTCCTGGTCTGAGCGCCGCCCGCTGGGCGGCAGCCTGCCGCGAGTTCCGCATCGAGCTTTTTGATGCCCAGTTGCCGTTCTCGCCCCACTCGTTCCGCCACGCTGGGCCCAGCCACTATGCCTGGCGCTTCAGAGCGAGTGCGACAGCTCTGCAGACCCGCGGCCGCTGGCTGGCCACCTCGTCTGTCCGCCGGTATGTCAAGCCAGCGGGGATGCTGCGTAGGAGGAGTGCGCTCTCGGCCGCCCAGCTTCGTAGCGCCGCCAGCACGGCAAATGATCTCGAGCACAGGCTTCTGACTGCGTTCCCTCTCCTCCCCGACCACCGCCCAGGAGTGCCCTTGCAGGGGCTGCGGGATTCTGGGTGCCAGCGCGGCTGGCTGTCGCTCGAGCCTCTGCTGGTGCCTCATCTTCCGGGCCCCGACGGCCCCGTCAGGAACCTGCCGAGCGAGCTCGGCCGCGGCGGCGCCTCAGCGCAAAATAGAGAGCCTTGCCGTATCCCTCTTTGAAGGCTGCCGCCGTCCCCGCAGAGGACGGCAGGATAGACGGTGATTGAAAGTGTGCCACATTATCACAGTCCGCATCGGAGTCCTCTGCAGCTTTTCTGGCTCCTCCCTTTCCCCTCCTCCTCCCTTTGGAAACCGACCCTTTTCGACTGAAAGGGGGTCGTTTTTTTCCGGCTCCTCCCTTTTTCCCTGTGTTCGATGCTCTGTCACTTTTGGGTGCCAGCGCGGCCGGCTGTCGCTCGAGCCATGGCTGGTGCCTCATCTTCCGGGTCCCGACGACCCCGTCAGGAACCTGCCGAGCGAGCTCGGCCGCGGCGGCGCCTCAGCGCAACATAGAGAGCCTTGCCGTATCCCTCTTTGAAGGCTGCCGCCGTCCCCGCAGAGGACGGCAGGATAGACGGTGATTGTGATGATGTTGTCTATGATGATGATGCTGCTGATGATGATGATGGCGATGAGGATGGTGATGCTGATGATGATGATGCTGATGATGATGATGATGATGATGATGATATTGGTGATGATGATGCTGATGATGCTGATGATTATGAAAATGAGGATGATGCTGATGATTGTGAAAATGGTGATGATGATGAGGAGGAGGAGGAGCAGGAGGAGGGGGAGGAGGATGGGTGATGTTGAGTATGTATGTATGTTGCACGCATGCATGTATGTATGTATGTGTGTATGTATGTATGTAGGTATGTATGTATGTATGTGCGTATGTATGTATGGATTTAGGCATGTTGGTATGTATGTGTTGATGGATGTATGTATGTATGTATGTACGTATGTACGTATGTATACACATATATATTCGGGCCCATGGGGGACGGACTCGATCCATATCCACCGCCCACTGGGGCCCGAGGGCGTCGGTTCCCAGGCGGCGGATCTGGATGAGTCCCCGCCTCGCAGTTCTCTCCCCCGAACCAGCGTCCCCCTCTGTCGTTCCCCCTCAGGAGCTGGGGTCTGGAGGTGCGGCCACGGCTCCCCCACCGTGGGCCTCACCCCTTTGGCCGGCCCTCTCCCGAGGACCGAAACCCTGAGGGCTTGGACGGCAAAGTTGACGCGTGCTGGACTCGACGTACTTTTCGGGCCAGGGCACAGTCGAAATCAACAGTGAGAACGGGCAACCTTCTTCCCAAGGGTACCCATTTCATCATTGCCTCGGTCCGTCCTTAACCCCTTTCGACGGACAGCCCCTCTCGAAAAGCTGCGGCACGCGCGTCCAAGTGCCTTGCATCCGTACCGCGCATCCTGACTATCAGTTCTGATTTACAGTATTGACTCGCGCGGAGTCCAATTCAGAAATAAACAACGGTCCTACACCACGCACACAGGATGCGCGGATTGGTCCCAGTCAGCGGTGATAAGACCTAGCAGGGGCGTTGCGCAGAAGATTATCCACCTTTGTGGGCACATGCAAAGACAGCTCCCAGCAAGCGTCGGACGTAGCCGACAGCCAGTGCTGCCGCTTCAGGGAGGCGCATGCCAGAACAGGCCAGCGCGCACACACACACACACACACACACACACACACACACACACACACACACACACACCGATGCGTTCGCACATCCGTTGTCAGTACAGCGCCTTGGTGCCTGATCGGTTCCCGATGGAAAGAGGGGGAACATAATGGGTGGGGAGACGGCGAGCGGTGAGCGGCAGGAGAGGCAGGACGAGACGGCGGATGCACGCGGGGAGCTCCAGAAGGATCGAAGGGCATGACATGCTCGTCCCCCGGCGGTCGCCAGCGGCAGGGCGGCGGAGGCAAAGCGGGGGCGGCTCCGCCGACAGAAGCGAAGCTCGCCCCTCCGAGAGATTCGCAGGCTTTCCAAGCCTTCTGTGTTGGGTTCTCGTTTGAAGAGAGCGCTGCGGTCGCACACCTGCGTCCCCTCTCTCCTTCACCCCCCTCCTCCCCCCTCTTGCTGCGCTGCTCCCTGGGTGGCTTCGAACGGTGCAACTGTCGCCACGTGCGCGGGCTCCCGGGAGGCACGGCGGAGTTGGGGAGTGAACGGACCCATTTGAGACTTCGCAGCTCCCTCGATGTCTGCGAACTGTGCAACTGTCGCCACTTTCGTGGGCTCCTGGAAGGCACTGCGGAGTCGAGACGCGAACGTACCCATTTGAGACCTCGCAGCTCCCTGGGTGTGCGAACGGTTCATCTGTCGCCACTTTCGTGGGGCCCTGGGAGGCACGGCGGGGTCGGGGAGTAAATGGACCCATCTGAGACCTCGCAGCTCCCAGGGTGGCTGCAAACGGTGCGGAGCAAACGAACTCATTTGAGACCTCGCAGCTCCCTGGTGGGCTGTGAATTGTGCATCTGTCGCCACTTTCGTGGGCCCCTGGGAGGTCCAGCGGAGTCGGGGGCCAGGTGCACCCAGACGAGGCCTCGCTGCTCCATTGGTGGCTGCGAACTGCACAGACGTCGCCAATTTCGTTGGCTCCTGGGAGGCACGGCGGAGTCGGGGGCCACGCGCATCCAGCGGAGACTTCGCTGCCCCCTGGGTGGCTGCGAACTGCGCAACTGTCGCCAATTTCGTGGGCTCCTGGGAGGTCCGGCGGAGTCGGGGGCCAGGCGCACCCAGACGAGACCTCGCTGCTGCCTGGGTGGCTGCGAACTGTGCAACTGTCGCAACTTTGGTGGGCTCCTGGGAGATCCAGCAGAATCGGGGGCCACGCGCACCCATTTGAGACCTCGCAAACCTTGGAATGCCGCGAAATGCAATTGTTTCCACTTTTGTTGTCTCCTGGGAGGTCCAGCGGAGTTGGGGACCACACGGACCCAGCCGACACCTCGCGGCTCCTTGGGAGGCTACGACGTGTGCAAATGTCGCCATTTCCGTAGGCTCATGGGAGGCACGGCGGAGGTGCGGGCAGCGCAGGACGTGCATATCTGGCGATGTGTGTTTTCGTTTGGAGTGTTCTGGCAAAGATTCGCCTCGCGTGCAGAATTGATTGGATACGTCTCGGGTAATTTGGATTCGGGATTTCTTGAATCAGTCACATATCGGAACACATGTTGGATATTCTCTATTACTTCCGCACGCTTCCGCTGATCTGCGCCGCCCCTCAGGAGTACACCTCCGTGCGCAACCAGGCGGATGCGTACTCTCAGAAGGACTTGGCGGGCATCTTCAAGAAATATGGCATCAAGTCTCCGGAGACGGGGAACGATTTGAGCGATCCTTACGAGTTCAATCTCATGTTTCCCACGCCCATTGGACCAGGGGGCTATCTGCAGGGCTACCTCCGACCAGAGACAGCCCAGGGCATCTTCTTGAACTACAAGTTCTGCTGCGAGCAGAATGCCAACCGGTTGCCTTTCGGTGTGGCGCAGGTTGGAAAAGCTTTCCGGAACGAGATCGCGCCTCGTGCAGGGCTGACCAGGCAGCGTGAGTTCACCCAGGCGGAGATCGAGTTCTTCGTGAACCCGAAGGACAAGGAGCATCCCAAGTTCGCAGGAGTCAAAGACCAGGTGCTGAATCTCTTCCATTCTGACAACCAACTAGCAGCGAAGGATCCTGTACTCATGACCATCGGCGAGGCGGTTGCGAAGGGCATTGTCAACAACGAGTTCCTCGGCTACATAATCTGCCGCACGTACCTCTTCCTGCTGAGTGTAGGAGTCAGCAAGGAGCACATTCGGTTCCGCCAGCATCTTCCCACAGAGATGGCGCACTACGCCGCGGACTGCTGGGACGCCGAGATCTACTGTTCTCTCGGGTGGCTGGAGTGCGTCGGCATCGCTGACAGATCTGCCTTCGATCTGAATGCGCACGCGAAGGCGTCCAAGAGCGATCTGTCGTACAGGCAAACCCTCGACAAGCCCATCGAGATGGAGGTCTTTTCCATCACGAAGAAGTCGGGCATCGAGGTCCGCATGCTTTGCGCCCCACTGAGCGGCAGGGGGCCCAGGAAACACGAAGCATCCCGCAGCCAGGGCAAAAGAACATAACGCGGACATGGACGGCCGAGTCTCCAATCTATTCAGGTAAGGTTGTGTAAAAGCTCTTCAGTTTGCTGCTTGTGCTAAGTAGAACCACGGTTGGAGCCTGGGGCCTGTAGGATGCCAGCCTTTCAGCGAGCTCCTCGAGCCGGGATCCCTAAGGGAGGTTTCTTCATGGCTCCCTTGGGCTTCCCAGCGAGTGCATGGAGGGGTACATGATGAGGAGGGAAGGGGAACGCAATGCATGCAAACGCAGTGCAGTTGATACCGTCACCAAAGCGGAGCAACACAAACTTACCCCACAGCTTATATCAGAGTGGAGCCCAGCTTCGCTGAGCGAAACTGTCAGCCACCACAAAGCACACTGAAGCAATGCAGTGGAATGGAAAACAAGACAAGCGTGAAGCACAGCAGGAGACCTGGACGACTCGGACGCGATCGCATTTACCGGTCAATAAGCAATTCTTGTTGATTAGAGGATGTTCGCTGAGCTTCCTGGCCGTCATTTGACCATTTGGGAATCTCTTGGACGCATGTTGGAGGCCATTCTGTACCACGTTTGAACCTCTTGTGCGATATCGGAGGCCATCTGGGATCGATCGGGGGCATCTTGGAGCTGCGTGGGCGATTCTGGACGCCGGAATCCACCTGGCACCATTCCGGCACCGCCCCCGCCTCGTCGGGCAGACCCCCCCCCTCCAAACTGGCCAGACAGGGATTCGGGAAGGGACAGGCGTCCCACACGCCGAGTGCACCCCAAAGGGATCGGCGAGCTCATCCGACGGCCACGCCGCGTCTTCATCGGAGTTCCGTCGAGATCAGTGTCATTTGCCTGGTCTTGAGGGGGGATGTCTGATGTTTCCAGGGCCGCCCAAGCGCTGAGAGAGGCAGGAGGCGTGTGATTGAGGTCATGAAGGCCTTCAAGAAGGACGGGAAGGCGGTCAAGGAGTTTATAGAGGCCATGCCGCAGCCCGAGCTGGAGCAGCTCGCCGCGTGTCTTGAGCGCGGGCCTTCGGACGTGAACGTCAATGGCCAGTCGTTCGAGCTTACCGCGGACCTGGTCAAGTTTGAAAAGAAGAAAGAGAAGGTCTCGGTGAACTCCTTCACGCCCGGCGTGATCGAGCCCTCGTTTGGGATCGACCGCATCTTCACGGCCGTGCTGGAGCACATCTACTACGCGCGGCCGAAGGAGGAGGACTCCGACGACAAGCAGACCCGCGGGGTCCTGGCCTTCGGAGCCAAGATCGCGCCGTACAGGTGCGCCATTCTGCCCCTGGACCAGCGGATCTGCCGCCACGATGGCTACACCTCTCTGATGCGCGATGTCCGAGCCCAGCTGGGTGCCCTGGGCCTCTCGTACACCATCGACGAGAGCGGCGCCACGATCGGCAAGAAGTACGCGAGGAACGACGAGCTGGGCATCCCGTTTGGGATCACCCTTGACCACACGACCATGGAGGATTTCGGTAGCAAATCATTGGAGCCTTGCGTGTCCATGTCGTCCAGTTTCTAGAGTGCATTAGCGTGCGCATCAGCGTGTGCTAGCGTCCGGTAATCGATGAGGTCGCACCGAGTAGCGTCGACTAGCGTTGAGGTTCGTCGATTTGCGTTGACTGGCGGCAATTCGCGTCGATTTAACAAGAGCCCATCAAAAAGATGGTATGGGAGGCTCTCATGAGTTGTCGCAGAAGAGGACAACACGGTCACTATGCGGGAGCGCGACACCATGGCGCAGATCAGGCTGCCGCTCGGAAAGGTGCCCCAGCTGGTGCGCGACCTGTGCGCTGGGGAGAGCACTTGGGAGGCGGCCACGAAGGCGTACCCCGCCCAGTGAGGCAGCGGCTGTGTCATCGGCCGCGCGCCATGGCTGCTGCTGGAGTATCGAATAAGAATCATAAACTTTCGGAGGTCCGCGCGGATTTCTTGGATCGGCGCTGGACCCTCTCCCTAGCGCGCGGAGCGCGCCAGGGGCGGTGCCGGAGTCTGGAGGCGCCGCCAGGGGGCCCTTGCGCCGAACCAGGACATCCGCGCGGAGCTATGACAGTCTATGTTTCTTCAGTTTGTTGTTCCTCTAGTCTAGGCCTTCCAGACGGGGTCCGAGCAGATGGGGTCGAAGGATCGCGCCTCATCTCCGATGCATTGCCGATGCGTCTCGGTGTAGAGCCCGATTTTCCCCACGCCGATGGCGCCGACGCATCTCCGACTTCGCCGATGCATCGGCGATGTATCGACGATGTATCGCTGATGCATCGGCGATGCGGCGCGGTCTTCCGACCCCTGCTACTCCGACCCCATCTAGGAGGCCTCTCTGGAGAGGACCTCGCGCGGCATAGGATTAGCGAGCAGTTTGGTGAAAGGTCCGAAAGGCCGTTCTCGAACCCCTTCGGCACGCGGCCAGTGCGCCCTGCTCGGGGGATCTGCCCGAGGGATGGCCCTTCCCTTGCTGCTCGTGCTCCCTCCTCCCGTCGGAGCCTCGTTGCGAACTAGGGCGTCCTGAGCGCAAACATCTGCATCGAAGAAGCCTCGCTTGGAGATGCGGCATGATGCTAAGACGTCGTAATCTCTGCGTTTCCGTCGGCCGACTCGGGTGTCTCTGGAGCTTGGTTCAGCTTGGCCTCTGTTTAGTCCCATACGTTACATGGAGGAGTGCAAGCGACACCTTGCCAGTGGAGGCTTTTCAGTAGAGCCTCAGGATCTCCGGCGACGTCCACTGTGGAGGGGGGGAGGGATTTCTGGCAAGCAGGGCCAGCACGCCGTCAAAACCACAAAGGAACTGCAAAAGCTCCCTTCCTCCCTTCCGTCCCTCTCTTTCACCCTTTCCTTTTCCCTCCCTTCCACTTCTCCCTCCCTCTCTCACGTGCCTCCGCCTCCTGTATCTTCTTCCCGCACCTCCCCTGCCCTCATCTCCCCATGCGCTCCCCTGGCCTCCTTTGCATCCCTCGCCTCCCTCCCTCTCTCCCTCCCTCTTCTCCCCCCCTCCTCCCGGCGAAAGGACCAAATATAAGTAGCCTCTACGAGGGCCGAGCCGAATGCTCGTGCCTCGTGTTCAGGTGGTGTAACTTCGCTTCGCGATTAGCCCAATGAAATCCAATCCGAAACCTATCCAATCCAAGGGCGCCATCCTCCTGCTTTTCCGCCTCCTCCGTCGTCTGGTGGATCAGAAGAATCATGTCCACTGGCATCCTACGTCCTGGTCTCTCTCCAGTATGCATGGAGGTCTGGCGCTCTCTCGGCTCTTTCCTTCCTACGATTCCGCGCCGTCGGTCAGAGGAGGAAGACGTACCCATACTGGAAGCGTTCACTCGCTTTCCCCTTTTGGGCCTCCTGGGAAGCCTTCGTCGCCACCGCTGGATTCGCCTCGAAATTCTGGTCAGAACGCACCCTGGGAGAGGTCTGGGGAGTAGCGGTATCGGTACCTGCTGGTTTCCCTGGGAGTTCGGGCCGCCGGCTGTTTGTGGTGCGCCAGATCCCCGCCGCTGCTCGTACGCAGCTTGCATGCGAGATCTACTACTGATGGGCTTGTTTTTCCACCACCACCACCATAAGTTGGAAGGGGGAAGGAGGAGGACGAGGAGGAGGAGGACGAGGAGGAGGAGGAGGAGGAGGAAGAGGAGGAGGAGGAGGAGGACCCCTCCCCCTCCAACTTATGGTGGTGGCAGAAATCAGGCCCCTCAATCCCCGCGCTGGCCTTCATGGTCTGAGCGGGCTCCTCCCTCTTCCCCCCTCGCGCTCTGCTCTCCTTCGCCTCCGTGCCTCAGCTCGCTCCCGGTGCAGCCCACCGCCTGCCGCGACCGGCGTCTGACAGTCTTGGGCCACTCGGCGCCCACGGAGGAAAAAAGTTTGTTGTGCGCTCTGGGCCCCTAAAATCGCAGGCCCAGAGGTTGACACCAACAATATCGGCTGTGTTCCTGCACCGAGGGAAGAAGATCTCGATCTCGGTGATGGTGGTAATGTTCTGGCTGCCGCTTCCAAGGTGACCGAAAGATTGCCACCAACACCGAAATCTAAGATCGTCTCCCCCCTGTGACGAGAAGCCCCCTGTCTTGGTGTTGGTGCCCATTCCCAGGCCTCCAGTAAAGATAATCTCTGGAGGTCCGAGACGACAAGCACCGCCCGCCGCAGTGTGTCCCGAGGTCTGGGCGGCCACAAAAATAGCGGCCGCGAGGCTCCCCTGATGGCCAGCATCAACCGGAAGCTCGCCAATCTGGAGGACACCCTCTGCGCAGCCTGGGCAGTGGGGGCTTTGGCGGGAAGAGGGAGCGAGGGGCGGAGGGGGAGGAGGGAGGAGGCAGACGGAGGATGAGGAGGAGGGCGAGGAGGACGAAGGGGAGGAGGAGGAAGATGTGGAGGCGGAGGAGGCAGGACCCAGTCCTCATCTCGTTCTGTCCGTGCTCTCCCTTCCCGACCTCCTGCATCTCATTCTTATCATTGTTGTTGGTAATATCATCATTGTTGTTATTGTTATTGTGGTTGTTGCTATTATTATTTCATTATTTTCTTATGAGTATTGTAACCATTATCGTTATCAGTATCATTGGTTCTTCTTGTCTTGTTAAAATTGCCATGTTCGTATCTGTATTAATAGTATTCGTATTCTCATCACTGTTAGCACGACTATTATATGTGTTATTCTTAATTGTTGTCAACATCATCTACATACTCACTCATCATGATTATTTGTCCTTGCTGAATAAAGCATGGAGCACGCATAATATTGATGTGTCGATCAGCGGGCTTGGCCCTTCTGCCGAAGACCTGTCTTTGGCGCCGCCCTGCCCGATCCTATCGTATCCTCTCCCACGTACTCTCGACATCCTCCCCCTTCCCATCCTCCTGCATCTCCTCATTTTCCTCCTTTTCCTCTGATTTGATGAAATGTGCCGCCTAGAATGCATGGGGCAATCTTGAAGCTATGTTCCGCCTGTCAATCTAATTGCTTGTGGGAGCGTCGGCCCTGACCCACGGCACCTGCAGGATGCGCAAGTCAGGTCGCATTCGCAGTCGTAGTCCCATCCCTTGTCCGTCGATCTCCTCCTCGTCACCACCATACGTATCAGCAGACGCCTGTTTGTGTCGCCAGATAAGTTTCCAGTGCACGATCATACTTGAAATGCCGAACAGTCATGCGGGTGGACGGCGGATCGCTTCCAAAAGACGCGGACCCTGTCGGCGTGTGTGGGAGGCTTCTCCGTTTGGGTCGTCTTCGTCGTCCCCGCCCCCCCCCTTTCCTGGGCCCTCCCCTCGTTCCCCGGGCCCTCGTCGTCGTCCTCGTCGTCGTCCTCGTCGTCGTCGTCCTCGTCCTCGTCGTCGTCCTCGTCGTCGTCGTCGTTGTCGTCGTCGTCGTCGCCCCTCTTCAGGGTCGGCGGCGCTGTTCGCCAGGCCTCCGCACAGTCCGGCTCGCGCCGCGGCGCCGCTCGCGCAATCGCCTCGCACGTGCCCGGCAGCTGCACGGCCAGAGGCAGGGGCGAGCGATCCGCGCGTAGCGTTGCGGGTCCGAAGCCACATCCCGATCCCTATGCGGTGCTCACTTCTATTTCTTCGAGGTTCGAGGTTCTCGGGTTATTCGTCGGTCCTCAGCGGTGTTCCAGCCTCGGGAGGCTCTCTCGGGAGGCTCTCGAGCGATCCGCGCGAGCGTTACCGGTCCGAAGCACATCCCAATCCCTACACGGTGCTCATTTGTAAATTTAAGTCGGGCCTGTCCCTCTACAGGGGGAATGTTCAAACATAGTCAAACGATAGTCTTGGGACTATTGTTGGAGTAAGCTAGGGGCATCTGTTTCGTATTTTTGAATATTTTTTCGCTTTCGTCCAAATCCCCTTGTAAGGGGGACAGGCACGACCTAATCCTAGTTCTTTGATTTTTTTTGGAGGCCAGGATCCTTGCATGCGTAATCGTTCCATCCTGGGCCTCCATCCCAGGGGGCCAGGAACAACTAGACACGCGCACAGCTAGAAATGAGCACGATTAGGAATGAACGACGTGTATCCCGATCCCTATGTTCGGCATCGCCTTATTTCGGTGCCGATCTTGAGGATTCCCTCCGATTTTGAGAGCGTACCCTCAATATTGTCATTGTCATCGCCTTTTGGAGTGCCAATCCTAGGGGATAGGGATCGGTTCGAAGCCGGTTACTGTCGGGCTGCTCGGCCCTCTGCAGGGCACGGGCTCCCCCTCCTGCGGCGAGTGACCGAACTGGTAGGGCCATTGCGAAGGGCTGGTCCGCGCGAGCTGAGGACCGCGCAGGGCGAGGCCAGTCAGACAAGATTGCTTGGGCCGAGACCAGTGATGGCGAGACCGGTCAGGGCGAGACCATTCAGGGCGAGACCAGCAAGGACAAGACCGCTCAGGACGAGACCGTCCAGGGCGAGACCAACTCACGACCACAGCAACATGGACAGCCCTTACAAACGATTCTGCGAGGACTATGGCAAGTACCGCAAGACCTCCGAGGTGAATGTCCGCCAGGTTTGAGACGCGAGCTGAGCCGCCCGACGCATTGCAGTGCACGTTCTGCCCCTCTGGCACGGATTTCCTCTGTCGGGAGGAGCGGTTGAAGCATCATGACGAGGAGCACGGCGGCAGGCAGCGGCACCGCAACGCGTGGCTGGCACACATGCAGCTGGCCCCATCGCGGCATCTCTGGCCAGGAGTGGCGCCCCATCGTCGCCAACTTCGTCGAGTTCTACGGTTTCCCTGCGACCGTGGGAGAAGTCCACGCATGAGATGGAGACGGAACCGAGCAGCGAGGGCCTGCGCTCTGAGGGGCGCTGGCAACGACGTCAGTGGCAGGCCTGCGTGTTCTGCGCCCGGTCCCATTGGGTAGAGGATTTCCACGGCCTTTGTATCGTGGGGGAAGATTGCTTCATGAAGGAGCCGGACGCCGTCTGGGAAATGCTGGACGTCGAACGCCACGCTGAGAGGTGGCCGAAGATTCCCAGAGGGCAGAGCTGGAGAGCTCTGCCGTCGTCGTCGCTGCATCTGCAGCGAAAAAGAAGAATGGCAAAGGCGAGTGGCAAGTTCTGCCGCGCAGGCGCCGCGTGAGCCCGAAACAGGCAGCCGGGAGAGAAAGCGCCTACGTTTGCTGTGACTGCAGGAAGGCGCTCGGCGGGCACCGCCCTGGACGCTTCAGGTGCGCCTGCGCGCATGACCTCTGGCTCGGCCGCTGGGCCCGCTCCTCCGCCGCGCAGACATGCGTCCGCTGCCCCGCCAGATGCTCCCGGCGCTGGCGCGCATAGCCAGCGCCGAGATCGCCCCGCGCCCGGATGGGAGCAGGAGCAAAAGTCTGACTGCGCGGCGAGCTGGGACTTCCTCTTCCACCAGAGCGGCTTCGCCGGCGCGGCGGTCCTCCTCCAGGGCGCGGAATGCCGCTCGGCGCTGCAGCGTTTCTCGTCGCCGAAGATCAACGACCTCTTTCGCCGTCAGCTTCGTCGCCGGCCCCGCGGCAGGCGACCCGCGAGAGCAGGCGAGGAAGTGCGCGACCGAGACTGCGAAGCTCATGGTCGACAGCCGCGCGTTCGGCCCTCGGGCAGCTGCGTTGACAGAGACCAGCGAGCTCTATTCGCAGAAGACTTAGTGAGGGGGCCGTCTACAGGAAGGGGGGGCCACCCCAGAACGCTAACAGCCAGGCCGGGGGCACAACTAAAAAGTAATATTCAACATTACGTTTTTGTCCGAAGGCATGGTCTGGAAAATCCAAAAGTATGGTTCGTTGTTGTTTTTGCCCTGAATGGCTGTGTGTGCTTGAATTCTGAAATCGTGATTTTATGGTGGAAAGGCTTCGCCTCTTTCGCCGTTCTGGAAGTGTTGTTGCACGATGAACGCCACGTGCGAAGCATGTTTGTGGGGAGTTGCGTATGCAGTTTCATTCGCGGTTGATCGCGTAGCTGGTTTTGCTAATGTTCGTATCCATCACGGTCCACCCAGCAATAGTACCCAGGCGAAATGTTTTGATCAGGGAAGTGCGGGAGCATTCCGTGTAACGAAGAGAAATTGATGGGGGAGCCGTCAAGGTGAATTTCGTGGGTCAGCCTGGGCACGCCCGGGAGGGAATGTGCATTCGCGGCCCCTGCCGAAACAGGCAGGGCGCAGAAGAATGATGAGGGGGCGGGGGAGGAGGAGGTGGGGGAGGAACACGAGGAGGACGAGGTCTAAAAGGAAGAAGGGGGGAGCGACGGGAGCGGCAGGGGGGGGGCGAGCAGAAGTATGATGATATTGACCGCGCAAGCTTTGGGGGGAGGAGGAGGAGGATGAGGAGGAGAAGAAGGGGGATGAGGAGGAGGAGGAGGAGGGGGGGAAGGAGGAGGAGGAGGAGGAGGAGGAGGAGGAGGAGGAGGAGGAGGAGGAGGATTGGGCGAGGAAGAGGAGGAGCAGGAGGAGGAGGAGGAGGAGGAGGAGGAGGAGCGTACAACGCGCCCGCGCGCGTGCGCGCGAGGTGCGAATTCTGCATTGCCCTCAGCGGTCTGGCAACGAAGGGGCCTGGAAACGAAGGGGTTCTTGGGCGGTGACCGAATGGATGTTCCAGGCAGCGCGGGGCTGCAGCGCGCCAGCCAAGTGGCTCATCGCACAGCGCGCCCACGCGCGCGCGCGCGCCGGCGCGAGCTGTGAATTCTGTGTCATCCACAATAGAAGGGCCGCAATGTTGGCATGGAAGCTCAAGTGGCCCCCAAGCGGAGACCGATTGGATTTCCGATTTACCATGGGTTTGTAGCACGTCGGTGAAGTGGCCCAGCGCGCAACGCGCCCGCGCGCGCGGGCGGGCGCGAGCTGTGCATTCTGTGTTATCCACAGAAGAAGGGCAGTCGTGCTGTCCTGGGAACTAAAGTGGCCCCTCAGCGGTGACCGATTGGGGATGTAGCATGTCGGCCAAGAGGTTCGGCGCACAAGTCGCCCACGCGCGCGGGAGCGAGCCGCCACTCTGCATTATCCAGAACAGAAGAGCCGCCATGGTGGCTTGGGAGTTCAAGCAGCCCCTTAGTGGCGACCGGTTTTTGTTTCCAATTTAACATGGGCTTCTAGCATGTCGGCAAAGCAGCGCGCCCACGCGCGCGCGCGAGCTGTGAGTTCTACCCGCAGTCGCAGGGCCGCCATGCTGGCCTGGGAAATCAAGCGGCCCATTAGCGGTGACCGATTGAATATCCGAGTTAGCTCGAGTTTGTAGCATGTTGGTTAAGCGGTTGAGCGTACAACGGGCCCACGCGCGCGCGCGCCCGCTTGCGCTCG